AAAAACGCCACACGAGAGCTGGAACAAATTTATCCTACGACATTCCTCTAAATCTGCCAGAACAACGTAAACAGCGGGTAGTATAGCTGACAGAACAACAACACGACATCGTTGCAGAGCATTAACATGTCAACAACTACAACAAGCTGTTTCGCATATTTACCAAATCGTATGTACCATACAGCAGCAGTTCTGGCAGCGCTGGCATCAGGATTACTTAAAGGAGCTACAGCGGCGTACAAAGTGGAATACAGCTTTACCGAACTTATCCGTGAACGACTTGGTGCTCCTGAAGGAAGATACAACGCCCCGGCTCAAATGGCCCATCGGTAGAGTCACTAAAGTTATTCCTGGAGACGACAACATGGTGAGAGTAGTGGAAGTTAAAACATCAGATGGCATATACAAACGTGCCATCGCTCGCGTTTGTAAGCTTCCCATCGATAATCCACCTGCTGACGAAATTCATTGAAAGCACAAGCTTTCAAGGGCGGGAGTATGTTCGCGCCCCCCCCCCCCCAAAACAAAGAAAATCATCGCCGCCTATGCCTACTTAAATTCTTCGCTGTCGCTATGTGCAATAACACTCACATGCACTCTTTGAACATAAATATCGCTTCCAACATTGCATCGCTGGAGCAGCCGCAGCCGCGGCCGCCGCGAACGTCAGCTTCGTCATTGTCTTTGTCTTCGCTGGAGCTCCAATAACGTTTTTACTCACCAACTATTTTCGTCACCCACTTCGCAAATTTTTGTCACCTTAGTGCTGCAGCACTAACTAAATATACATATTTTTATACATATGTTCAAATGTACCGTATAGAAATCACGCCACTTGTTTTCGCCTCGCATATGTATGTACATATGTACATTAAAGTGGTCGAAAAATGTATGTAAAAAAATAAGGTCGGAATTTTTATGCCGGCACCCGACCCCCACCCAAACCACCCCAAGAGACTGCGTCGCCGAGTACTGTCGTTCACCCCGGTGGACGAGCATCTAGCCACAATCCGCATGAAAGCGAGATTCTTCAACATCTCGCTCATCTGCGCCCATACCACGACGGAAGAGAAGGATGAGGCCTCCAAGGATATCTTCTATGAGCGCTTGGAGAGCACGTACGAGCGCTGTTCCCGTCATGATATCAAAATCGTGCTTGGCGACTTCAATGCCAGGGTGGGCAAGGAAGGGATCTTTGGAACCACCGTCGCAAAATTCAGCCGCCACGACGAAACGTCCGACAACGGATTGAGGCTAATCGACTTCACCGGGGCCC